TCACATAACTCACATTCTAAAACTGAGGTCTGGCCTGGTTAGCTGTTATACCTCGCCAGTGAGACTGGAAGCTGCCAGAGGGTCAACAGAGTAATTGGTTTTGCTTTTTACCCCACCAGTGTCATTGAAGACAGGGTACAGCCTAGACTAGTTCCCCCAAGGTCAGACTGCTGGGAGCACAGTCAGCCCATTTTCCTTAATTCTAGCCCCATCCTGGATCCAAGGTCATCTCCCCAGCTGGCTACCAGCTAACAGGCTATAAACAGAGTTCACAGCCTGTAGCTCTAAGAATATTCTCAAATAGTTATTTTTAGCAGGGTAGTGTATGGTTCAAATTTGAAAATTTAACTGCCCAGTGAGTTCACCTTGCCCACTGCCTAGAAAAAGCCAATTTATCAAAACAGGGGAACTACAATAGAGAAAGAGTAATTAACCCAGAGCTGACTATGTGGGAGACAGGAGTTTTATTATTACTCAAATCAGTCTCTCTAAGCATTGGGCTATCAGAGTTTCTAAGGATAATTTGTGGGGGTGGAGAAAGGCCAGTGAGTCAAGAGTGCTGATCGACTGAGTCAGAGATTAAATCATAGGAAGTTGAAGCTATCTTCTTGTACTGAGTTAGTTTCTGGGAGGGGGCCGCAAGATCAGATGAGCCAGTTTACGGATCTGGGTCGTGTCAGCTGATCCATCAAGTGCAGGGTCTGCAAAATATCTCAAGCACTGATCTTAGGAGAAGTTTAGGGAGGGTCGGAATCTTGTAGCCTCCAGCTATATGACTCCTAAATCATAATTTCTAATTTTGCAACTAATTTGTTAATCCTGCAAAGGCAATCTAGTCCCCAGGTAAGAAGGAGATCTGTTTTGGGAAAGTGCTGTTAAGGTCTTTGTTTTAAACTATAAACTAATTTCCTCCCAAATTTTGTTTAGCCTACTCCCAAGAATGAACAAAGACAGCTTGGAGGTTAGAAGCAAGATGGAGTTGGGTAGGTTCGATCTCTTTCACTGTCTCAGTTATAATTTTGCAATGGGGATTTCAAAAATAGCTGACCCATCCCTTAGGGTTGGCACCTGTTCCACGCTGATACTTGTGTCATTTACTGGTCCTGTGTGGTTCTTGGTGAGTCGCAAAGCTAGCCTGACCACTCTCAGGATTCAAGAATGCCTTAAAAAGGGCTTGGGAGACCCTTTCTGGGACATGAGTATGAGCAACTGTTCACAACCAATTTACTAAAATAATACAAAGTCAAACTGATTTATCTGACAATCATACCACTCTTTTCTGTACTTAAATCATGTCTCAAACTCAAGAAACCAAAATGTCAAGATGATGAAAATAATACCGTATGACACCATCTACAAAATTCCGCTGAATTTTACTTGCTACAATCTTTCATATATGATCACAAAGTGTAGGTAAGTGGTGAGATGTTTGGCATCTCACTCTGTGACTTTGTACATAAGGAAAAAAACCAGTATTTATTGTGAAGGTAGTATGTGTTGGATACTGTGCTAGGCACTTCATACACTAACTCATTTAATAGCATAGAGAAGCAGAATAACAGTGATGAGGGGAAGAGTTTTGGGTTTTTTTTTTTAAGGTTACAAGTACCTTTATTCTGACTCTGCCTTTATTCTGGGCCTTTCAATATTTATAGATTTTGGGGAGAAGCATTTTATAAGTTAAACAGCCAGAGTTCCAGTGAAGTTCTACCACCTACCAACTCTGTGCCTCAGCTTTGCAATTTGTAAAACAGATACAGTGAAAATAATAGTACTTTTTTGGCCAGGTTCCGTGGCTCATGCCTAGAACCCCAGCCCTTTGGGAGGCTGAGGTGGGCAAATTACTTAAGGCTAGGAGTTGGAGACTAGCCTGGCCAACATGGCAAAACCCTGTCTCAACTTAAATTACAAAAATTAGCCAGGCCTGGTGAGATGCACCTGTAATCCCAGCTACCTGGGAGGCTGAGGCATGAGAATCTCTTGAGCCCAGGAGGCGGAGATTGCAGCAGGCTGAGGTTGTGCCACTGCACTCCAGCTGGGGCAACACAGTGAGAGCCTGTATTAAAAATTTAAAAGGCCAGGTGTGGTAGCTCATACCTGTAATTCCAGCACTTTGGGAGGCGGAGACAGGTGAATCACTTGTGATTAGAAGTTCAAGACCAGCCTGGCCATATGGTGAAACTCCACCTCTACTAAAAATACAAAAATTAGCTGGGTGTGGTGGCCCATGCCTGTAATCCCACCTACTCAGGAGGCTGAGGTAAGAGAATTGCATGGCCCAGGAGATGGAGATTGCAGTGCGCCAGATCATTCCACTGAACTCCAGCTTGGACAACAGAGCAAGGCTCTGTCTCAAAAATAAATAAATAAATAAAAAGAAAAAGAAATAATAGTACTTTCCTCATGGGGCTGATTAACTGATTAAAGGACTAAATGAGTCATTACAGGTAAGGCACTTAGGACAGCACTGGCTTTCTAGTGTTAGAAATTCAACTTTATCTTTACAACAACCTGGTGAGATAGTATGGTAATACTCAATTTAAATATTAAAGTTCAGAGAGGTAAAGCAATTTGCTCAAGGTCACATAGCCAATAATGCCATAGCTAGTATATGAATTCAGGAAAGCTTCAAGTATAGCCCAGGAATGAAATTCCTGGAATACTTCATACATGAGCTCCTATCATGCACAGGCACTGCAGATAAGGTGAAGAACAAGAAAATAAGTTCCTGTTGGCTTAGTTGGGGAAAAGAAGAAAGTCAAATATAAACAAACAGATGAACAAAGTAATTTCAGATAGTAATAATGCACTGAAGACAATATATAACAGACTGATGTCAATAAGCAAAAACTAAAATTAACACAAATGTTCATTAAAGATGAATGAATACACTGACTCTAATATGTCCATAAAATTGAATAGCAAGGAATAAAATATTGATTCATCCACAAAGTGGATGAATCTCAAAATCCTGCTGGCAGGAGAAACTCAGACACAAAAGCTAAATACTGTATGATTCTATGTATATGACAGTCCAGAAAATGCAAATGAATCTATCTTAACACAAAACAATTCAACATTACCTAGGATTGAGAGCAGAGGAAAGGATAGACTGCAAGAGGAAATTTTGGGAGTGATGGAAATGTTCTGTGAAAGAAAAATAAATCTTCAGGCCCCCAAATCACTAAGTTAAAAGGCAAAAGTCAAGCTGGGAACTGCTTAAGGCAAACCTACCTCCCATTCTATTCAAAGTCACCCCTCTGATCACTGAGATAAATGCATATGTGATTGCCTCCTTTGGAGAGGCTAATCAGAAACTCAAAAGAATGTAATCATTTGTCTCTTATCTACCTGTGACTTGGAAGCCCCCCTCCCACTTTGAGTTGTCCTTCTTTTGCTTCAAGTCATTCTGTCTTTTCTGAACCAAACCAATGTTCATTTTACATATGTTGATTGATAACTCATATCTCCCTAAAATGTATAAAGCCAAGCTGTGCTCTGACCACCTTGGGCACATGTCATCAGGACCTCCTGAGGCTGGGTCACAGGCATACATCCTTAACCTTGGCAAAATAAACTGAGACCTGTCTCAGATTTTCAGGGCTCACATTTTGGCAACCATGAAGGAAGTCTGAGTGGAGATGCTCCTGACCTTTGACAAATTTCTCATCGGTGCTTAGTACCAGCATGAGCTAACTTCATGGTCAAAATAATAGCATAATTTTCCTGAGGTCGGGAAGCACCACCTCCAGAAAGGACTTGATCTCCCCAAATCTGGTCAAGATCTAAAGTTTGTTTTGCTGTACAACTCCATTTTTGGGAGTTTGACTTGCTTCCAACAAGGAAGGTAAGTTTTCCTGCTTCCGTGATGATGGGAGGCAGGTAACTCCTTTATGCAGTCTGAACTGGCTTCTAACATGGAAGATGGGAGTTTTTTTCTTGCTTCTAGGATGGTAGAGAGCAGCCTGAGACCCATCCCTAGGTAAGTAGCTGAATTGGGGTTTTGTCTTGGCTAAAGTTAACAACCAGCTGGTTTTAATTTCTGTTTATCATAAGAGTACTCAGTAATCATATAAGTTTTGCAATCATTTGTTTTCCTTAACTGTTTTCGTTGTTTTATGTTTCTGTTTTTGTTGTTGATTTGATATTTTTCCCATTGGGTTTTACCAACACTATCTGACTTAATCAAATCCAAAGGAAAGTTCCAAATTATGGGGAACAGAGGTTCTGAAATGGTTAAATTCCCCTACATACATACCAAAAAAGGTGGTGTGGTGGGAAAGAAAAATGAGAAAAAGAAAAAAAAAAAGGAAGATTTATTATTTTTATTTTGACTACTGAAAGGGCTTTATATACACAATAAGGCCACCTTTTTGTGAGCCAGGTTAAAATGAAAGCAATGGCTTGAGACCCATGCTGCAGTTCAGTTCAATAGCTAAGGTTCTGCATTATTTGATCCACTATGGCATGTTGGGTTTGGTTCCTAAATCAAGCCCTTTCTGGTTTAATATTCGGTACTTCTGAAATAGTACCTATTTCTCCTAGCTGAAACAAAGTTATGATATTTTAACAGATTTTTTTTTTTAAGAAAGTCAATGTGTGACATAGTAAAAGTCCCATAAAACTGCATACCTCAAGCATACCTCAGCTTGCTGTTGAAACTGCTTTCTGTGACCCTAATGTGACAGGCAAGCAGTCCAAACCCACGCCATCTTGGCTTCTGTGACTTGTAGTAAGTAACTAAGGTCTATAACTCCCACCACTACCCAGACAATGTGTAAACTACGCTTATCTTGACTTTTGTGAATTGCTTAAGTACAATCAGAATGTCAAAAGTCCCCTGGCCCTCACAATGTCTGGAGCCCCTCACCCTCATCTCTGCCCAGGAGGTGATTTACAGAATCTACTAGCCCCCGGAATGTCTGAAACCCCTCACCTCCACCCCCACCCCTCACCTTCACTCCTGAGGTGGTTGTGTAAGATAGCTAGCCTAAAGTTAGAACCTGAGCAATGCCATTTTATACAAGACAAAGCTGTTTTCCAAAATTAAGTTGTAATGGCTGCCCCATTCTACTCACAATAACTGCTGGCCTTGGCTTCTGTAAATAAAACTGCTAGTTTGCTCTGTGAAATAACTACTATGTAAAGCTGCTTAAACTTTGCTAATCAGTAACTGCTCCCGTGGCCCTAATGTGACAGGCAAGCAGTCCTAACGCATGCCATCTTGGCTCCTGTGACTTGTAATAAGTAACTAAGGTCTGTGATTTCCACCTTACCCAGATAATGTGTAAACAAATGTTTACCTTGACTTCTGTAAACCACTTAAGTAAATGGAATGACAAAAGTCCCCTGGCCCTTGGAATATCCAGAGCCCTTGTCTCCGCCCAGGAGATGATTTAAAAAATCCACTAGCCCTCAGAATGTCTGAAGGCTTTTCATCCCCATCTCCGCTCCTCCCACTCCCAAGGTGGTTTTTTGGGTATAAAAAGTCTTGGCACCCTCCTTTCGACGCCACAGGTTGGAGAGATGTCAGTCCTCTGTGGTCGCCGGTAATAAAAACCCTGTAATTTGGCATACTTTTGTCTTGGTGTTAATTTTCTATGCTCGGTCCAGTATAACAGTTGTATAGGTATAAAAGGTCTTGACACCCTCCTTTCAGGGCCACGGGTTGGAGAGACGTGAGTCGAGTCCTTCGTGGCTGCCAGCAATAAAGACCCTGCAATTTGGCATACTTTTGTTTTGGTGTTGACTTTCTATGCTTACTCCACTACAACAAATGGTTAAAGTCAACTTAACAAAAAGCTAACATCCAAGATATGTGTGTGTTTGTATTTAAAAGATCACGTTTTTGTTTTTTCTCCCCTAGGGCCTTGTCTTTTTTTTTTTTTTTTTTTTTTTAAGCAAAAGTTTTTTTTCTTCTCAGTTGATTGAATTCTATTTTCTTCATTTACTTCTGCTGTCTCTCCTTTCTCTTGCAACTTCTCCTGCATGAGGGACCTAAACTAGTTTTAATAGCCAGGGGTTTCTTAAAGGAGGTGGAGAAGGTGCCAGGCTCCCTTTAGAGGAGAAACCTGTTTTTCTTTATGGAACCCCAAGAGTATAAACAGGCAAGTTCATCTCAGTTTTTAAGCTTCCTCTTTTTGATTTGTATTACCTGATTTATTGACTCAAATTGTTGTTGCAACAGAGGCTACTCTTGTTTTTTTTGTTTGTTTGTTTTTTGACAGTCTCAATCTGTCACCCAGGCTGGAGTGCAGTGACCTCACCTATTGACTAAAATTGTTATTGCAACAGAGGCTATTCATGGGGTTTTCTGGGGAGCTTTGGGGAGCTGTTTTTTTGGTTTTTGACAGAGTCTCAATCTGTCACCCAGGCTAGAGTGCAGTGGCATGATCTTGGCTCACTGCAACCTCTGCCTCCTGGGTTCAGGCGATTCTCCTGCCTCAGCCTCCTGAGTAGCTGTGATTACAGACATGCACCATCATGCCTGGCTAATTTTTATATTTTTACTAGAGATGGGGTTTCACCACGTTGACCAGAGTGGTCTCAAATTCTTGACCTCAGGTGATCTGACTGCCTTGGCCTCCCAAAGTCCTGGTATTATAGGTGTGAGCCACCAAGCCCAGTCAATATTCTTGGGCTTTTAAAGAAGAGCATATACACTTAGAAATGTCTTTGTTTAAAAAAAAATTAAGTGCATGATAAAAACATCATGTGGTCTAGCCTCATAATAATTCTTCCTTTTTGGAAACACAGGGTTCAGTGCTGGCTCTCCCCAGGGCTCAGAGATTCAGTTAGAAGATACGTAGTCTCGAGGGCTCGATCCAAGATGGCCATTTAGGAACAGCTCAGGATTGCAGCTCCCAGTGAAAGCACAGAGGGTGAGTGGACGCTGCATTTTTATTGCCCACAGACTAGGAAATTCCCAAGCAGAGGAGCTCCATGGGTCGCCAGCGCGGCTATTTCAGCCAGCGCAGCTATGCTGGTCAGCGCCGCTGCTTTGCCCCACGCGGCTGCTTTGTCGGCGCCCCAGAGCAGCGGTTCTCCGTACAAAATACACCGGTCGGGGTGCCCTTTTGGCTGGCGATTGGAGCCATGGGAAGTCCCCCATTTGTCTGTTTAAAAAGGGGACTGAGCAGGGAACCAGGACAGTAGATTCCAGGGCAAAAAAAGCACGACGAATCTCAGTGCAGCTGTTTAAGCCAGTGCAGTGACTTGCCGCAGGGGAAAACACACAGACCTCGGCGCCTCTTCAACAGGCGACTGGAACACCAATTTAAAAAAAAAAAAAAAAAAGGCTATGAGGCAGGGAGCCCCGCGATCAGGCTCGGCTGGTCCCACCCCCACAAAAGAACAGCAATCAGGAACTCTCTGGATTGAGAGTTTCACAGCAAGCGCAGCTGAACCCTGGACGCTCCAGCTCTGTGGGGGAGGGGCGTCTGCCATTACCGAGGCAGCCCACCACTACGGAGGTAGTCAGCCAATGCTGAGGCAGCCCGCATTGCCAAGACAACCCACCACTGCAGAGACACATCGCCTTAACAGAGGCGGGCCACCATTGCCGAGGCAGTTCTAACTACACCCATATAAACAGGACTGCAGGGAAGCTCACTTGGCAGCTGGGCAGAGCCCACGCAGCTCAGCAAAGCCTCTACAGGCAGACACTGACTAGGCTGCCTCCTTGCTGGGCAGCGCAGCTCTGAAGGAAAAAAAAAGAAGGCAGCAGCATAACGGAAACTCATAAAGCCCTAAAACCCTGGGACAGAGCACCTGGGAACAAAAAGCGGTTTATGAGTTCTGCTGCAGGAGGCCTAAACGTACCTGCCCAGTAGCTCTGAATGAACAACGGGGTTCACAGCTCAGCATTTGAACTCCTATAAAGAAGAGACCATCTCCCCAAGCAGCTCCCTGACCCCTGTATATCCAAAGAGCCACCTGATAAAGGAGAGATCACATTGACACTTGGCGGGTATCCTTCTGAGACAAAGATAGCAGAAAAAGAAAACTGGTAACAACCCTTACTGTTCAGCAGCTGCTGCAGGTGATCCACAAGCAAGCAGGGCCTGGAGTGGACCTCAGCAGACCTACAGCAGAGGGGCCAGACTGTCAGAAGGAAAACCAAGAAACAGAAATAACCTCATCATCAACAAACAGAACATCCACTCAGAGACCCAATCTGAAAGCCAGCAACTACAAAGACGACAGGTGGATAAATCCATAAAGATGGGAAGAAACCAGTGCAAAAAGGATGAAAACACCCGAAACCAGAACACCTCTGCTCCTACAAGGGATCACAAGTCCTCACCAGCAAGGGAACAAGGTTAGATGGAGAAAGAGTGGGATGAAATGACAGAATTGGACTTCAGAAGGTGGGTAGTAAGAAATTTCTATGAACTAAAAGAGCATGCTGTAACCCAATGCAAAGAAACTAAGAACCTTGAAAAAAAAATTTAATGAAATGCTAACGAGAATGGACAAAATAGAAAGGAATATAAGTGAATTGATGGAGCTGAAAAACACAACACGAGAACTTTGTGAAGCATGCACAAGTATCAACAGCCGAATTGACCAAGCAGAAGAAAGGATATCAGAGGTTGAAGATCAACTCAACGAAATAAAACGGGAAAGCAAGAATAGAGAAAAAAGGGTGAAAAGGAATGAACAAAGTCTCCAAGAAATGTGGGACTATGTGAAAAGACCTAATCTACGTTTGATAGGCGTACCTGAATGCGACGAAGAGAAAGAACCCAAGCTGGAAAATACTCTTCAGGATATTATCCAGGAAAACTTCCCCAACCTAGCAAGGCAGGCAAATATTCAAGTCCAGGAAATACAGAGAACACCACAAAGATATTCGTCAAGAAGAGCAAACCCAAGGCACATAATCGTCAGATTCACCAGGGTTGAAATGAAGGAGAAAATACTAAGGGCAGCCAGAGAGAAACGTCGGGTTACCCACAAAGGGAAACCCATCAGACTCACAGCAGATCTCTCAGCAGAAACCCTACAAGCCAGAAGAGAGTGGGGGCCAATATTCAACATCCTTAAAGGAAAGAACTTTCAACCCAGAATCTCCTATCCAGCCAAACTAAGCTTCATAAGTGAAGGAAAAATAAAATCCTTTGTGAACATGCAAGTACTCAGAGATTTCATCACCATCAGGCCAGCTTTATAAGAGCTCCTGAAAGAGGCTCTACACATATAAAGGAACAACCAGTACCAGCCACTCCAAAAACATGCCAAATGGTAAAGAGCATCAACACAAGGAAGAAGCTGCATCAACTAATGGGCAAAACACCCAGCTAGCACCAAAATGGCAGTATCAAATTCACACATAACAATATTAACCCTAAATGTAAATGGACTAAATGCCCCAATCAAAAGACACAGACTGGCAAATTGGATAAAAAGACAAAACCCATCGGTGAGCTGTATCCAGGAAACCCATCTCACATGCAACGATATACAAAGACTCAAAATAGAGGGATGGAGGAAGATTTACCAAGCAAATGGAGAGCAAAAAAAAGCATGACTTGCAATTCTCATCTCTGATAAAATAGACTTTAAAGAAACAAAGATCAAAAGAGACAAAGAAGGACATTACATAATGGTAAAAGGATCAATACAACAAGAAGAGCTAACGATCCTAAATATATACGCACCCAATACAGGAGCACCTAGATACATACGCCAAGTTCTTAATGACTTAAAAAGAGATTTAGACTCCCACACAATTGTAGTAGGAGACTTAACACCCCATTGTCAATATTAGACAGATCAACCAGACAGAAAATTAACAAGGATATCCAAGACTTGCACTCAGACCTGGACCAAGCAAACCTAATAGACATCTACAGAACTCTCCACCCCAAATCCACAGAATATACATTCTTCTCAGCACCACATCACACCTACTCTAAAATTGACCACATCATTGGGAGTAAATCACTCCTCAGCAAATGCAAAAGAACGGAAATCATAACAAACAGTCTCTCAGACCAAAGTGCAATCAAGTTAGAACTCAGAATTCAAAAAGTAACCAAGAACCGCACAGCTTCATGGAAACTGAACGACTTGCTCTTGAATGTTGACTGGATAAACAATGAAATGAAGATAGAAATAAAGATGTTCTTCGAAACCAACGAGAATGAAGACACAACATACCAGAATCTCTGGGACACATTTAAAGCAGTCTCTAGAGGAAAATATATAGCAATAAGTGCCCACATGAGAAGCAAGGAGAGATCAAAAATTGACGCCCTA